ACTAAGCATACTTTTGTTACGAGAGAAAAGGTTTCTGACGATTTCGCACCCGTTGATTTGAAAAATTGAAATATAGATACTAGGTAGTTAGGGGTGGCTATTGTTTAACTTTAAAGTAGCGGTTTTTATTTTGGAAATATTTCCTCCGCTGTCGTGCGCCTAGAAATCCGATAGAATACTACTTCATCCCATCTTATTATAGCAATATGGGCTAAAACGGTATATCCTTTATATATTGAAAGATTAAAGTTCATCACGAATTCATGTGTGTATGTTCCCTAGCCCTTACTTCTTTTCGTCGCGCCGATTTACCCTTACGCTTATCATTGATGCACCTGCAAACTATGGACGATAATGTGTCGAGACTAATGTTTTTTTTTTGTTTCATAAGGCAGTGGTAATACTATTACGGTAAAACGTCATTGTGATTTTGGTGTCCTGGTGACGACACAACCTTGTCCAATGAGCTCTACCTGCAAGACGGTGATTGTACGGTACTGTTTGTGTGGCAACGGCTATGGACATGACCGTGAACACACTGTGAATGTATGTGAAGCCAAACAACGATTCTGGCGGTCCGTCAAAGGCGGTCTGCTGCTTGACGTATCCATTTTTTGCTTCTTGAAAAGGGCACGCAAAGAAGCAACGAGAGAGGCTCTACTCGTCACAGCGGTCTGTGCACCTTCCTCGAGAAACCTTCAGCCGTTGAAGCCCCTACTGCCAAATCCTCTGTGGCTCATCCCCTAACGCACGAAATGCGTTTTTCATTCTCGAGCCTGTTTGTTAGTTTCTCGTTTGTCCACTGCTGTCTTGTCTGTTTACATCCGCGCTGGCCGTATCCCTAGCCATCGCAAGTAATCCATCTCACATCCTTCTCTGCTTCCGCTCTGTGCCGTTGCATCGTTTACTCTGCGCCACACAAAACGCGCATATCAAACGAACTTGTACGTCAGCTATTACATCAGAGTTTATTAACACTTCGCTTTCTCTCGTGCAGCACCAGCAGCATGCGTCGCAACTCCCGAATCGGTCCGAAAGGCCTATTATGTATGTTGACACCTTTTTGCCTTACGCATGTTGTCCGTTCCACTGCTGAGTGACACTGCCGCCGCATCTGACCAGTCTCCCTAAAGCCACTGCCACACAGAAAGGTCCAACGAAGGAAGAAGCATATAGAGGAAGACGGAGAAAGGCAAATGCTTCTTGCAGGCTTCCTTCTTTTGTCGTCATTGTCGTCATAACCAACCTCGGCCATCTTTCTTCTGCGATGGTGAAAACTTTGATGAATGCGATTATCAACCTACGACAAGCTGCCTTGCCAAACGTCAACCAATAATTGCAACCCGTCTCTACTGATGCTGACGCTATAAAGGACGCCTGGAGCTTTGTTTCGACGTTCGACTGAATATGTAATTTTAGAGCAGTTATCAAGTTAGGGAACTTCTCGACGGATGCAGGTGAACCCAATACGATTTCGTAGCTGAATCGACTATGCTTCTTCCAGCAGACTGCAAAGAAATCGCAATCAAAATGGGAAGGAAAGAAGGGAAGTGGGTTCACCATTGCTTGACGTCGCTTGTTGAATAGAATAAGCTAGCAACAGTAGACCGCCGGAGTTGAAGTTGCCCAAACTATTCTAACAGCTAACAGAAGGAAAACCATCTATCTAGGAATGCCGTCAATAATGGACTACGGGCTAGTAGCGGCGATCGTGTAATAATGACCTGTCATGGAACCTGGAATTCAGGCAGCGTTGTGGCCGCTGGAGTAAGAAAAATGGACGTGCGTCACGGTAGTGGGGGCCCATGTTAGCAACCGGCTTGGTTATTGCAGAGATACGTAGGAAGAAGTATCTAGGTGTTGGTGGATTGACGGCTACGGTTCACAATAATCGGTGCGCTTTAGGACGTTCCAGCCCTGTAGCAATTGTTACTACTACATAAGCATCGAGTGCGGCGGTGAGTGGCAGTCTGCCGTTCAGGCTTGACGAACAATTGGCTAGCGACGCTAGGCAGGGTCAAAGACAAGAGTTAGAAACAGCCATAGCCAAAAGCTGCCTGTGGTTATTGTTCAGCTGCATCACTTTGCCACCCTGCCTCCGAGGCGACAGCGGGGGCGTTAGCGGCAATAGCTGTAAGCATTGGGCTACTAGTGTTAGCACTGTCGTTCCTGCCATCGTTTATTGCCTGTGTGACCTCTTCTACAAAAAAAAAACTAGCAGTAACTGCTGTATTGTCTTACCGCTACTACCTATCCCCACGATCAGCAACACAAGCCATCACCAGCTGAATCAGTAGAGTTACAGCAGTGACGAGGCGACCCAGCTTGCTATGAATTTTGGTTGCAACAGCGGCAGCGATAACGAAGCCCACCGGAGTCAGAGCTGAATGGCCTTTTTCTGACAGACTTTTCAATGAACAATTATCGCAGCGCATCCAGCACGCGAACTGATGAGACAAACAGTCCGGCAACAACTTAGGTCAAAAACTAGTCCGATCTAGGCCAGCCCGATTAAATCTCTAAAAGCTGTAGTCTATTAATAGATTATACTGCTATGCTTTTCCACCTCCCTGCACCATTTTTCAGCAGAAAAATAAGAGCATTTTCTAGATTGTAGTGAAAACGATATAAGTATGTAGCACTAGTAATACTAACGAGGCGGAGATGCGAACTACTGCTTCGTCGAAAAAATCACCGACCGTTATGAGCCTCGACGGCATTTGTATCTTTAGCTTGATAAAACTGTAAAACAGGACGAATTTTTAAAGGAGTGTCACTTATATTCAAAACAATCTATCTTCAGTCTGTTCTAAAGCATCTAAACAATGTTAGCACATCTACTACTAACAAATAATGTCAGCTTTCAAATAACACTAACGTTCATTTGTATATACATCAGAAAAAACAACATTAAATCCAATTTAAAATCGGCCACATCACTCAACAATAATTAGTTAACAGTTAAAAAAATTAAAAACTAAACGCATAGTCATCTTCTCATTAGATATTAACGAGCCGTTAAAAATTTCTTCTATATCTAGTTCCTGTTCCTGTTTCTAACTAAAATCTAAGCATGATTGAGAACAGTACTGAGAGGTTCACTTCGTATAAAGCTTGTCCAGATTGCTTCCCAGCTGTCCAGCCACGATTGAGTTCGAGAGTGGTTACCAAGCCCAGCTAGCAACTGGTCCTCTTATTTCTTTTTTTGAGTAGAGAAGAGCAGCGTTGGAGTGTCCAAGGTCAGGTGCCCAGCCCTAAACCCCAAAAGCGATTTTCTCAAACTAGCAAAATTATTGAGACGGAATTGTCTTTAATGTTTTTCTTAGGGCTAAAACTATTTAGCGCTGATTCCTCGGCCCGGATGTACTAACATCGTTTATATTAAGGGTAGGACATATAATAATGTTCACGTGAATCGAATAAAACTGCACGGCATACTGACACGAAGAAATCGCTGGATCTTCCGTGGGGACAGAACGGACCCTATATGGTAAAGAGTCTGATGTTCTACTTGTTTCGCTGCCAAAACATTAAAAGCAAGTTTCTTCTAAACCCTCATCTATATTTATCGAGACCATTCCTTGCGACTTTTTTTTTATTAATTTCCTGCTTTCCCTCAACTCGTTTATCTGTGTGATATAACAAACCTTTTTAACTGACTTTACATTCCCCTATCTAGTTCTTCCATTTTACCTTAGGTAAATCACCAAACGCCTTCTGTTGTTGTTTCATGGGCAACCTCTTCTTCTGTGGTCGCCATCTTCGCTGCTGTCACCATCAGCATCGTCGCTGTTCGCTTCGACACTGCTTCTATTTTCTCTCTGTATGAAGGGAACGGCGAGTCCTAAAGAAGGCAGGCCGAGGAGGCTTGTCCGTCTGTACCGTTACCTTCAAAAGCTGGCTCTAGGCAACAGGACCCAGGAGTTTCTACGTTAAGAAGGAATTGGGCGACCCTCTGTCTGACCGGTTGATCCGCACAGGGCCGCATAGGCAACCGACGGGAGGAATAACAAATGGTGGAGAAAGAAGTAAGCGTAAAGCTGTAAGCGTACCAACTAAATGAAACAAGAGCAGCGGCAACAGGAGCCAGACAAGGAGTAAAAAGGGAAAAATGGAGAAGATTTAAGAAAAGAAGAAGAAGCCATCGCAGCAGCAGCAGCAGCAGCAGCAGCAGCAGCAGCAGCAGCAGCAGCAGCAGCAGCAGCAGCAGCAGCAGCAGCAGCAGCAGCAGCAGCAGCAGCAGCAGCAGCAGCAGCAGCAGCAGCAGCAGCAGCAGCAGCAGCAGCAGCAGCAGCAGCAGCAGCAGCAGCAGCAGCAGCAGCAGCAGCAGCAGCAGCAGCAGCAGCAGCAGCAGCAGCAGCAGCAGCAGCAGCAGCAGCAGGAAGTCGCTCTTTGTTGGGCATTGAGAGGATGACGAGGTGTTAATTATAACGGTACTGAGTGTGGAAGTGCGCGAATCGCCCGCCTGTGTTCCCAGTACTATTACTAGTCCTAGTGCCTCTATTTCTAGGCGCGCACGTGACTATTATTTTGTCCGCGTTACCTAATGCACCCCACAATCTAACTCGTCTAGTCGCTACGTCTTTTTTCGCTTTTTGCTGCCATTGCTAAGGCTGCCGCGGTGTTTGCCCTATAAACGTGTTTGTCGGTCATCCTGTTCGCTTCCCATCTCAATGTCGCCTTTTCAGTCCATACTATTTAGACAACTACTAAAGCTACAACGGACGTCCACGCCGGGCTAAAATGGCCCCAAAATAACTACTCTTTTTCATTTCTTAGGGTGTGCAATAGGGATGGCTGTAGGCTGCTAGGCTTGTCGTGCCCTTTCTTTCTTGGCTCTTAGCGGCCATGTGCAATGGGAACTCGGTCTCTCCCTTGCTGTAACAACTCTCCCCTCGAAGCATTGTTGGCTGACAGCGAGTTATCGGAGCCGGCCTGGCGAAGATCCCTTCCCCTGCGGCTGTGTCGCTGAGGCAAGACACGGAACCAGCTCTCGCAACTCGAACTACTTCCACCATCTCATCATTTCCACTCTGGGCGCGTACTCTGTCGCTTGGCGGCACCAACACTCAACCATACTAGACTAGAAGAAACAGGAGCTCCAGTGTTCTTTGTGTGGTGAGGTCTTTGATTTGGTCAGCCTCTTTATCGGCGCCCCACGTCGTTCGAGCTGTTATCGCCTGTGGCCGTTACGGAATTGTAATATTAACTACGAAAAATATAAAAGATACAGGCGATAATAGCACATCACATCGACCAGCGACAGCATCAAGCGTCAGCATCAGAGGCGAATAACTCATTGTCGTGGTCATTATCTGATACTAGAAATGGAAATTGCGATTTCGGTTGCCTCGTGTATTCGGTAGTGTTTTTTTGTGTTTTCGTTTGCGCGCGTGACATTGTTTTTCCGCTATTAAAGGGTTTGGTATAGGATGAGAGCAACAGGAAGATTCTGAAGGAACAAACGTGTTCTAGTTTGAGGACAGTGTGGCGCGACACCCAGTAGTGTGAGATGTGCTACCAAACTTGTGCTAAATGTTTAGCGCGGCAAGCGCACTTAAACCGACTAGCCGATGATCAGAAACAGCTCCGGTAGTCCACGAAGTTCGAGCGATTAACGCGAGAAGAGATAACGACAACATCAGGCAAAGTAGGAGTACAAATGCCAACAGCCGTGGGCCTTTATGAATTTACCACACTTCACTGTCAACTGCCGCTACTCATTCCTTCGTCGCCTTCGCAGCATCAGGTCTTGTCGTCATTTGGGAAACCCCCTGACTGGTTCTCCACGGCGCCGGTAAGTAAATCCCAGGGGTTGCTGTCCGTGTGTGCTTGGCGATACACGGCTACAAGGAAACCACGTGAAAGTGATGACGACGATAAAAAAATGATTTCTAAAATGGCATTACACTGATGATAATATGACGATGCTACGATACTATGGCAGCTTGCCGCATGTCTATTTGTGAAATTACAGCCGGACAACGGTTCAAAAATGGAAAGGCGGGGGTGTCTGAGAGCGGGCAATATGGAGCCGTCAAAGCCGGAATAGGGGGCGACAAGGATGCGGCTGAACTCCTAAACAGAATCGAAATTTCGCGACACCTGCTATTGCGTTTATCCTGTGAGAAGAATCAGTGTTTCGGGAATTTTTCCGCCACGTCAATTTTGGCCCTGACGATGGCGGTTAGCCCATAAATCATAGAAAAAAAAGGCAGATATGAATGGCGATTTACCTATCATAGGAAGCGTAATAGATATCTACAGCTAAAGCTATTCTATTAGCTTTTTTTTGTATTGTGTGATTCTGTTAGAGCTGAGTTCGCAGTCGACTGAAGGACATCGGCTATGCGAGATTTATTTATTTAGTCTTCGTTCGACGCAATCAATAAACTAAACAAATCAAGGTCGCTTACTTAGAAAATGAGTAGTTTATATGCCGAAGCCATCGTCACGGTGCACGAAAGTCAATACTATTGAAGTACATACTTCAATTCGCAGTAGTCGAAGTGTTATTTGCTTGACGTCTATAACCAACTAAAGAATTCATTTACTGCTATCACGTGATAAAGACGATTTTGGTTTTAGTGACTCGACCGGACTGTTGGTTAAGCAGATGTCGTACTAATAAAACGAAGCGTTCAAAAAGACCGCCTAAACTAAAACCACGATAACGTCCGAATTATAAAACGTAGATAAAATCGCATTGTTAAACAAAATAAATGGGAATATATTATATATTTTGATTGTCGTAGATACTCGACGTGACGTTGGGGAGTAGCCGATTGCAGGTGCTATTTGAACTCCAGTTTTTGTTGTTTCATATATTTTCCTAGGACCTATTTTCCCCTGCCATTGCTGGATCTGATATTTTTATATACCCTTTGTCTAGCAGCGTCAGCGCTATATATTATCAGTCTACAGGGGCCGATCCGCTCTCTGGAAACAAGAGTAATCAGAACACACCACAAAAGTTAGTGTCTTCTAATGATTAAGGTTGCTATCACTGAATTCATTTCGGTGATCGGACGAGCGAAAATTAGATGCCTAATCGATCGATATCGGTAGTTTTGTGACATTAATTTAACCAACTTTCTATGTATGTATGTATGTATGTATATGCAATTTAATGTTTTCAATCGTGAATAGATACACTAAAGATTATGCGTTAGTTGTTTGCCTCCTTCTCGTGCAGAGGAAGTGGATAAATTTCATCGTTTAAAGCATACCGTAAAACGCAGACATCGATGTTAAAATTACGGTTATTCGTTCCCCTCAGAACTCTTCCCCACTTCGGTCGGCATCGATCCCATCATAATAAAGATATACCGATCATACTAACGTGCAGCTAATTAGTGTACGATATAAAGGTACCTACCTGATAATTGTTTCCGTTCCGTGCTAAGGGACGTCACGCATCATATAAATTCATTTTACCGATTGCTTCGCTATTGTATGAGAAACAACGTGGTCTATAGAAAAGTATAGCTTCTCGCTTCAGCGGTGCTCGTCCACTGCAATACGTGGATCTAAAACCATATCATGCTTCAGTCTTTGCTTATCATTTCTGATGTCCCTTATGTCTATTCATCGTTCTAGTTCCACGAGGCTGATAAACGTAACCTTGCCGAGCAGCGAAAACAACCGCAATCCGCTACGAAGATCGCAGCAAGCCGTTGAGACAAACCGTTACATTATATTCCCTTATGCATAACAGTCTTTCAGGCAACTGTTGTGGTCATGCGCCTAGTGCAGTACACATCAGTATACACATGGATTAGGCAGGACTAAGCACCACACATTATGTATATATATATATACATATAAATTTTATGTATATATATATATATATATATATATAGTACTTTTGAAGAGAGCTATACAGTGGGGCTTAATTAGCTTTTATCACATCAACCGATGTCGTACCGTACGTGCGAACGTGAATACATCGTTAACAAACGCAATGATGCATAATCTCTAAAATCTGGTTGTTGGTTTAATGATTGGTAAATTTTTCTACGATGCCATTACATTAATGTAAATGTCAATGTGAAATCGAAGGTTTACTTTTCTGCAAAGCGAGACATTGTTGCTGCAGCGTCTCATCGCACTTGTTTCGCTTACCACGTATAGCATTTGGCTCGCTGACCCTTAGATTCCTACAAGGGACGCCGCGTTTTTGACGTCGTCATTTAGGGGTGCAGGGGAGTTCCCAAGGCTGAATCTTTTCCGCGATCTGAGGTGTCCTCTTTTCCATCCCAAAGATATCTATGGTGTTGAGACGAAGTCTTTTACATTGATTACCTCGGGACTGCCTGACCGGTGAGGATTCGGCGCCTTAAGATGACGTAAAATGAAAAAAGGTACATTCAAGCAGCTCATTGTCGCCACAAACTCGTTTTTTCTAACTATACTTTTGAAACTAATAGAGAGCGCTTACAAATCTATAAATATATGATAATTAAGTGTACGGTCATAAAAGTACAAACAGGTGAGGAAAAAATCAACTTCGTGTACTCTTCCTTCATTTTGATCAAAGGAATACAACGAAATACGATTTTTCCTTAAACTATGACCGTTCGTACTACTAGTAGGACGCAAACAGAATGGTTGTAATTACAGAAAATTATTTTAAATACGTACTCCTATACATACATAATTGAGGTAAACGAGATCACTTTATATAACGGGAAGCTCGAGTAACTTGAAGCTACTACTGTGTATCATATACACATTATACGGTTGTTCGATTGCTCCCTATTATGCAACTTTGCGTTAACCTGTGCTGCCAAAAGTTATTAGTCGATCCTATAAAATTGCATACACAAGAACGTTCTGTAGCACCTAAAAATCTTCATGCACGGGGATTTTTGCATAATGCACAGCTGTCCTACATCCGTCGCTTTACTAACGCTACGCCTACCGTTGTCGAGGCAAACTGTGCCTCGGGCCTTATAAACATACATGCGTGCACCAACGTACCCTCGTTGTGCATCGCCATATAGATGCCCAGAAAAAATACGGCACAAACATCTTTGTTGAGCGTTCGACACTGCTGGTTCTTGATATTGCAACAGGGCACTCTGAGCTATCTAACTGTCTGTTTATTCTCCCTGTACTTCAACACTTGAATGGAATCAAGTATTCATCATAATGGTCGCATGAACAGTGGTTATAGCGTTAATATAAAGCTATTCATATTCCCTACCACCAGCAGGGATACAACTCCGGACAACGGGCTACGTTGCTCTTTCAACTTATCGAAAGACAGAGACAAAACGGAGAGTACTGAATCGGCATAAGCGCGGAAAAGCGTCACTGCACGTGAAAAATATGTAGCATCATGCTCTGGCCAAAAGTAATTTTCTCTTTGCTTGCCCGTTTACTCCTTTTGGACTCCTTAAGAAGTACATTTTATCAGGTCGCTTAGAGACGACTAAGTTCCAAATCCGCCTGGCAGATGCGGCGACAAGGATCGGGGTCAATGGCGGCGGTCTCTCATACTACTGCAATAAAAACAGCAGGAGCAGCAGTGAAGGGAGTAGCAGTATCCAACAATAGAGTTCTTGTTTTTCGTAATAGTCTTTGAGCGAATTACCCTGCCACCATTGGTCTGTGCGTCAGTTCTGTTTGTTCTCCGTCAATCATTCTCCTTTAGCCCTCCGTAAACAGGTTAAAAGAATCATCACCTGCATCGTACGCCGTAAAAGGGTTAACGATACAGCTCCGATGATGCGCTGCCCTCTAGATATGCCCTGTGTGGGACTTCAGTCATGCCGTCATGTGATTTTCGTCCGCGTGTATATATTATGCTTGTGTTTGTCTTATCGTGTACGCCAACCAAACGATTTGTTGGAAAGGTGAATCTTCGGGGCGGCAAAACACCAAACAGAAACTCAATGCCACTAATCTTAGATTTGTCCCCGTCTTGCTTGCTTAAAATTTGGTCGAAAAAAAGTCATTGATTAGTGTTAGCGGGTCCATCTTGTAAAGCTTGTTCTGCCCAAATGTCGTCGTCGTCGTCTCATTTGGTATCCTCTTGACAGCCAACTCCGCGTTTTCTACCAAAATGGTGTATGTCAGCATCTATCTGGGACAGTTTGTAATTCTAGTCCCCGCACCATCTCCCCCTTCATCCGATTTCCATCCAGGACAAGTACCACGTAATGGGGATAACGATGGCTTCAAAAAGCAGAGGCGCTGGTTAGTCTTGTACATTTTGCTTGATTACAGGATGAAGGGCACTACGGTTTACAAGATTACACAACGGACAGAATACACAGCAACGAAAACAGGACAACTTCACACTTCGCCCGTTAAAAGTGCTTTAGAAGGAAGTAAAAGTCCATTATAACTAGCGGTAACGACCATGGCAATCTCAATAGAAGGGAGGAATCTATTAAAAAAGTAACGAAACAATACACAGGAGCGATGTAGATTTCGACATTCGTATAGTCTATATGATTTTCTTAGATAATAACATGTAGTATGAATTTGTACTGTGCGAATGTGTAATCGTTTGATGTCGTATGAATAGGTAAGGCAGGTGCTTTACCCTGAAAAAAACATGCCGGAAAAACTTCTCGTTATTGGTTTTCAATGATGAAAAGATCACTGCCAAGGTTTCTGGAGCCTGCAACTGAGGATAATGCCAATGAACTCGTGCATCAACAACAATGTAAGTATGCGGCGCTTGATGTACTTCGATTTTCGCTGGAACAATGTTTTTAGCGAAAAAAGGGAATGTAAAAATTGAAACATCATTAATACCACAGTGACAAGCAGTACAGCAAACCGTATTTATATTTAGTTAATTATGTAACGCTGCTCGGCCATCTAAGACACGTGCGTAAAATACATATTTGTTAAAGCCGTTATCCCAAGCAGAGAAGGGGGCTGCTGTTTCGAATGATCTTCTAGAGAGTCATCAACAGGAATCCGACAGAATCTTTTAGTGCGATTTAGCGATTTTAGATTTAGATAGAGGATGGGGTTAAAAGGAGGCACCGTGAATATATCGAACTGATACAGTTGACAAATACGATAGTTTCCCCTGCCTTACCGACACGTTATGTTTTTAAACAAAAACCTGTCTTCGAAGTACGTATACTATTTGGCATGGTATTCTGCTAGGGTTTTTTTTTCATGGATATTAAATTTCCTTCATCGTACAGTGTATTTTCCTGTTTAGCCACTGTTATCTCATTAACAGCATCTAAATAGGAACACATACGAATTTGAAGTTGTTAACTATGTCATCAAGCTGCAACGTTATTTCAGTTCATATTTGTTTTTATAGTCGATCAATAGGCCCTGGCAGCAAAGTAAACCACCTACGACTCAACGCTGGCCTCCGTTATTTTTGGTCGTTACTGCGGCTACTTCGCTCTGATTTATACGTGTGTGATTATACGTGACTAGTGACTCTGGTTACGTGTCACTCCAATCCAAGGACCAGCAAAGGCGGCTCTCGCGTTCAAAAACCCCACTGGCGCCAACACCCTCAATAGTAGCAAGTACAGCAAGCTTCATTCACACACCATAAATCTCGAAAAATGTTGTTTCATCTGAAAAAATTTCGTTTCTGTCCCCACCTTTTTTCACTCCTCCAGTTTCTCGTTCTGCCCTGATTGACGCTCTGCGCTTAAATTGCTCACTGACTAGTTTAAAAAAAAGAAGCCGAATCTCTACTTCTATTTGTAGTTCCGCCGATGCTTTGCCTCGTCGGCTGATGCAGACGGAAGACTGCGCCTGATTGTGCGCGACATTTGAGTGCTTAATGGCCTTCCTTGACGCTGCTGGAGCTGTTATTTAAGCCAACGAAGGACGACTGAGCCAGGTGCGATACCGAGGGAAAATCGCGTCGCTTCAGGGCACGGAAAATGATCTCGAATATCTCAAGTGCAAATCCTTTGTGCAATGACCTGGAGACGGGTGTCCGAAAGAAAAGAGCCGGTGAGCGTGCCGAGCGCTACGTTTTTTGTATATTCAAGGGCCCCCTTGAAGAGAAGCTTCGTTCGACTCCCAAGAAAAGCCGATGAAAAGAAATTTGAGGAAAATCGATTGCCCCTGTTGCTCGAAGGAACGATTTCAGTAGTATATGAAAAGGGCAAAAGGACAAGTGGAATGATGTATTATTTGTTCAAGTGCATGTTTTGATTTAAACACTGGATTGGAAAGAGGAATGAGAGGCGGGGCCAGACAATCCGCTACGGCAACTAAAGTAAAGAAAACCGTACGCAAAAGGTGAGGGGCGTAGAATAGCCTTAACAAAGGATAACCATGCCGTTTAGGAGCATTTAAAGCAGGTGGCTACGGAAGAAAGCGACACGCAAACGAGTAATCAAAATAGAACAGGGCTGCCTCGAATGCTGTTCGAAGTGAGATATCGATAAAGGGCAGAGCGAACGAGGGGCAGAACGAGAAAAGGTAGAACTGATGAGAGAGATAGCATGATATGATATATGCACGCGAATGTGCTCAATGCAGGCATTCTTCGTTATATTGCAATACAAATGAGCACGACCGCTTGTGCGAGGAATACTCATTGAAATGAGGGGTGCCCGCAAACGCTTTAAGGCAAAATATCAGTAAGTGTATGTATAATTTTTTCGCGGCTTGTTGTCATTTACTTGATCATCTGTATAGAAAAATATATCTTCCCCGTTTAGTTATCAGGTAAAAAGAGTACGCTATATATTTTGCTACCCGTTTCCGATTGTCTATCTGTTTGCCGAAGGAGCGGAAACTTCGAAAGGCAGAGAGAGAACAAGTCTTCGACTCTCTGCGGAAAGGAAAAACACGTTTTCAGCCTAGCTGAGGATTACCAAGTCGATGTTTGCTTTGGTTGTCGGTTTCCGGCTCTTCTTTTCGACGCTATAGTTAGTTTGGGCCAAAAAATTCAAGTCTCCTAACCGAATTCGAAGTTCTCGCTAGTTTTGGCTACGATGTCCAGCTGCAGCAGGATAATTCCCATATATATCACATTGATACCAAGGCTTTTCCTGTAGATTAACGCGTATAGAGATAACCAATATCGGCAACCGTATTTCTCTTTCTTGGTCGATGCTTCGGGCGACTATCCAGATTGAATTAATCCCAACTGAATCCCCAATTACTTCGTCCTTGCTTCGACAACTCTCGAGGTAAGTACGAGCTTAAAAATTAACCTCAAAGTTCCGTTTCTCTGCTGCTTGTAGCCACATACCTAAGACTATTTGCTTGTAGGCTACGTAAACTAAGCTGATATTACGTTTCTAAACTATATCAATTAACTACCTTTTGCGGAAAAAAAGTAACACCGTGAGATCTTTATATCCAGAATAGTTACAGGGCGTCAAATATGAACGGAACAAACCATTCATCCTGGATCATCTATTTTATGCAACTCTAGTTGTGGTCATTGGCTATCAGTTATAGATGTACATTATTTTGTTGTAATCAAATTCAAAATAATTTTTACCAATTACCATGAAAGTTCATTACAGCCTTTTGCGATGCTGTTCCTTTCCGAACCGTATCGACCTCTTGGTGCTACAAGCATCGTAACAAATACCGAATTTTGAATATTGAAATGGAATGAACATCGTAGCAGATCCTGGGAGGGATTTGCCATACGCCATTTTGCTGTTACAGACAAACAAGCAAGTGGCAAAGGTAGCGGGAGCATCACTACTATATGGCGGTAAAGTGCATAGATGCATACATCCATCTAGTCAACGAGGTTTGCCCAGACTGGTACAAAAGCAGAGGCGGCCGACAAAAATATTTGGCCCATTTCGTTCCGTAGAGGTCGACTTGGTGGGAAACACCAATGAAGAGTTACATTAATGTACTCACCACTCGGGAAATACGGATGGCCAACTCAAGTAAGACCTGCTTTGGTAGTGGCGTCGCTCTATAAGGCCACAAAACCACTATATGCTTGGCTTCAGCTATAACAGTCGTCGCCGGTCGGCTCGCGGCGTTATGTGACAGCGGCAACCCCTTATAATGCACTGAGTGGGTCAGATCTTTGAATTTTTACGCTTCCGCACACAGAACTGTATTAGATTAAAAATGTTATAACCAGAAGGCGCTCAACCGTGTTGCACCTATACATAATTTTTCCAACAAAAAACGTCAATTCAGATAACGATCCTTTATTCCTAAAAGCGTAACAGTATACATATATATATATAGATACACAAATGTGTATGTGTATATATATGTACACCTGAAGATGTTCGGCGGTCCGAAAAATTTCGAAAACGGAAAGACAGATATTGTTTGGTTATTCTTGTTAGAACTAAAGACCTCATGCCGAAAGCTCGCGTTTACACTTGAGTATACAAAAAAAAACCCTTCTGAGAACATAACTTGCAAGCACCATATTCGCTCATGACTTGAGAGGTACTGGCAAACATTGCTTACCTTTCTGCCTACTAACAATAGGACTGCAGAAGTAGTTTATTTCCGAATCCAGGCAGAGATATACTTTAATCCTTCGGCAAAAGTCAGAGTAATGTGAAAAAAACAATAAAATACAGTATTGGGCCTTAAATCCCTATAGATCGTTGAGGTAATATTAAAATGGCGGTGTCGATGCCCGTCATAAAAGGGGCAGCTGAGAGTTGGCCTTGGAAGCAGTTTTTATCCTAAATATCGCCACCCCTGTGAGCCACGCCACCGATGACTCTTTTTGCTACATTGAATCCCTTGAATGGACATGTCAGTACAGGTTCAGGCAAAAGCATGCGAGAGGACTATAAGCTACTGGCCACCCGAACTTAGTGGCATGCTATTCACTCGATGCGTTAAAGCGATATATTGCAATTCTCAAAAGCTGACGTCCCCACAAGAAACGGCGATAAGAAATATTATCTTAATAAGTTAAAACGCACACCGTTGAAGGAAAGGTTAGTAAAAGTAAGCAGTTGGTAAATGTCAATGGAACCAGTCAAGGCCTTTCAGCGATTACGACAGATTGGTTGGAGTAACAAACAAGTGAGCGCAGACGGAGCTATTTAAGAAAAAAACACAACAAGGGTCATTTATCTGCGACCCAATTCAGAAGCGAATCACAGCACTAAAAGAGACCAAGTATCGTATTAAGACATCTTTAAAGAACTGCGTGTAGAAAAATCAGCCATTATGACTTACACTTATGATCAGTAGAGAAAACGTGGAACGTTCCCCTGCAGAGGAAGCCCGATACCATGGCAATGCGGCGATAAAACATTACGCGACTCTAAAAGTCATTTTTGATCAGCTGGCCAATGGCCGGTTCGAAGGCGCTTGGGTTATAGAAGCGTAACTATATCGATAAGCAAGAAACACATGAACCATTCCGCCTGATCTTCAACTTTCAACATAAATATAAAAAGCGCATAAGTAGCGAATTTATGACTAGTCTACAGCGAGTTTTTTTTTTTTTTTTTTTCTATAGAGTGTGAAAAAATGTGTGATAAGTGATTTTCAATTAAAAAATGTCGGATTGATGACCTAGGTTATACTTTGAACTGACTGTCCAATTTGTTAGAAAAAGCAGGTTGGATGTATATTGTCGGTCAAACTTGTTTTAATTTTATCACGACCATTTACATTAAGTAAGTCGTACCGAGCGTTATACTCTTTCGTTAGTCTTAATGTGGTCTTGGGTATGTCTTCGAACGCCAAACTGCTTAGAAGACGGAAGCTGAGACGATGCACTTAGATATCTTGACGAGCTCTAGTACCCATAAATGAGCAGGTAAGCCTTAAGAACTTACCATCGGGAAGTTCCCGCTTTAGTTAACTGATCTTAAACAATGGCATTTCATTGGTTAAGTGCACTGAGGATATATGCCTAGTTTGTCATGTAAAGGAAGGACGTCTATAGTCACCGCGCGTCCATAGAGTAAGTTTATTCATACTCTACCAATACATACGTCGGACTGCGGTTATTTAAATCGCTAATTCGCTTGTCTACCTAGTTCTAATAGTGCTTCAGTTGAATTATTTTCTATGCCGGGAACAAATAAGTCCAACTTACTTAGCTAAATAACTTGTAACTTTATGCAGTTACTAGGATGTTTAAACGTTTCTAGTTTCTTTTACAGATGATGTCTATTTAGCATAGCTTCATTGTGGGGATCAGGGATTTGCTTCCTTCGAAATCACTGATCACCGCTAATTTTCGTTCTTAGAAGCAGCTCTCCTTATCTTCTGTTGATAGCCCGAACACATATAATAGAGTGTGCCTACCCACTATGTAAAACTACAGTCCATTCATTGTTTTTCTATGATTCGGTTGACCGTTTTTGAATCCGAGCATTTAGCCAATATGCCGAGCCCTTTATGGCAATAAATGTATTATGAATCAGTGCAACACACATTATCGAATTCACACCGTAACTTTACGATGGGTCGCGTTGAAAGAGACGTAGAGAGGTCAGCGACTCAGGCGTTTTAGTTTAGAATTATAGCCAATAAATAAGGATTTACATAGTAGACGTCAATAGATAGGCACACAGTAGTACCAGTGACCGTGCCGATAAAAGTAATAGTAGTAATATCGATAAGTAACTAATGATAGTAATTAGTTCAATTCGACTAGGAGATTGGAACCAAAAAAAAAGGTTAGGAACAGAAAAAGAGCCGGTGCTATACAAAACACCCAAACAGTTGTCGTATGAAGCATCTGCTCAGATCCGACAGAAAATTAGAATATTGAAATAAAGGCCGACTTGAGATGTTTCGAAATATACCATGAGAGGCTTATATATATCTACGTATATGGACACAGTTATAGACGACGTTAACGTGAAAGGCTAGGATAGATAAAACTGTTTATCTATCAAAGTGACACATACTGAGCAAGTAGGATCCACAAGCGAGCAGTTATTTTAAGCTATTTTGGCACGTAGAGGGTATTCGATTCAAAACATATTCGCTATATTCGTAGCAAATAGGTCAAGCAGCCGCATCTGTACCTACAGTATTTAACATTTAAGGCTTAATCGGCGAACACATGAAGAAATAAACTTGAAAAAAACAAACAAAACAGTGGCAATAACAACAAAAACACTGGTAAAGCGAACTGATGCCGAAAGGGACCCAAGTGGACTTATTAAAACGTTGACCCCTGGGACGAAATCTCTGGAGTTGAGAGATCTCAGCTAGCAGTAAGAGAAATACAGGAGAACTCCGGAGGCGCTACGTAAAGCATAGTTTTGTGAATTGTTTGACTTTATAGCAATGGCCCGCCTCCATACTATTACTTAGTAGGCAAAAGACCAAGATCGGCAATTTTAGAGGCGGTACAAGTGACTTAGTGTGAAAAGCTGGAGGAAAACGATTAATATGGGTTTGCCAAGAGAAACTGTCATTAAGACGACCAGCAAAGAGAGGTGCGGTATCACTTGATTTAAATGGAAGGTTATCAATGGCGAGAGTAGCAACGACGGAAGGACACAATGAGTTCTAATTAAGATTTAAGGACTTTGATGCCCCTGTGAATAGAAGATAGTTAATATAGAAGAGAGATAGTGTGTAATCGTGAATGGTAGCTTGGCCGATGCTTTCCAGAAGCTGCATTGGGTTAAACAAAAGTCTCGAGATGTTGATTTTGATGCATCCGTTGATTATATGAGTGAAAGACCATGAACTGGTACGGTCAGAATCTTAGGTGGAATACTAGTTGAATAAAAACGTCATGATCTAGAGGGTCGAAAGTTTTGGCCATTTCGAAAAATACCCCGACTACCAAATTTCCAGGGAGTACAGCCCAAAAAGCCACCGCAATGGACAGGCGATTTTGAAGGCTAAACTACTAAGTAGATAGGAAAGAGTTAGATCTGAGATGTGGTTAAAAAATTGGTAATGGAAACCACAACGTAAATCACAACTGATTGAGTGTACACTGGTCGAAGACGGTTCTAAGAAAAGAGGTGATGGCTATGGGCCAGTAAGACTTCTGCCTTTATAAATGGGAACAACAATAAGGATTTTAAAAGTGGCCAGGGACGAGCAAGCGAACGGGAACAGATATAGTAGTAACCAAAAAATAGGTAGTGGCATCTGGATATCGTCCTTGAAAGGACTACGTAGAAATAAAATCGATCACTAGTTAATTTTGTTAGATAGGCTTAGGCAATGGCTAACTTTCAATCCGTAAGGTACACAT